ATTGGTTGTCGAAAAACTGTTTTTTGACATTCACCTTTTTCACAGTTGCTTCTAGTGAAAATGTCAAAGGCCAGTTGCTGTCTTCAGACCACTGTCAATATATTCTTATCGTATAGTATGTGCTTCAGACTTTACTGGAAGTGTGTTTGGCCCACTGCATAGCTGTGCACCTACAGTACAAACATAGTGAGGGGGGCAGGATGACAGGTAGACAGAGTTATGGACACAGAAGCACAACACATGGTTAAATATTCAACATTCATTACATAGAAAAAAGCTTAAGCCAAATGTATTGTTCATCAATAGTCTACTGTAACTGCCCCTCACTCAGTCCCGGGTCTTTGTGTGGAGCCCAGTATTTCTGCGTCTGTTATTAGGGGATTAGTCCAACTGGCCCTGCTGGGCTGAGCACATGGTGAGTGCATAATCAATAATGGAAGGCTGCACATACACAGAACAGTCTCAGGCACATGTTCACCTTGTGCACAAGTACAAACCGTTATGCAACAGACATGAGAGCTTTTTGTTTTCTTATCCATTTGCTCTGTAAAAGCAAAAAAGAAAACTGTCTTGTTCTATTTCTTTATATGTTAAACCTGATGAGGTTTCTGTATTGTCAGCACACAAACTTCCCGGGAAGACATCATATTCCTATTTGACGGCATGTTAATCTGCAAGTTGCTTATGGACAATTGTGGTTTTTCATTGAAGGGGAATTCAATATCTGATATAATTCTGTTACGGAGGAAGTCAACCCTTTCTTTATATTGGGCTGATCAAACAAATTTGATAAATGTTTAATAAGAGTTTAAACTTAATACTGTGGAAAATAGAATTCTACACTTATTTAAGCTGGAGAAATGTAACCAACCAACCTGTCTTATATTTCTATACTATAACTGTTTTCCTATTGGTGTCAAGGTGAGTCATTGTGACAATACAATTACGAGTAAAACAACATCAGAACAAAACAGAGCTGCAAACATCTACTCCTCAATCTACCGTTACATTGAGGTTCCATGTGAATCAACTGTATATGCTGTGTAATGTATAAAGGCAACAATAAGACACATCACACTAAGATGTTGCATAAGTTTCAACACTCATTTATTTATTCGCCTTATTTTGTTTCTTGACAACTTTTGTTACGTGTCCACAAACATGAGAAACTCCAGAACACTCAAAAGATAAACGTGAGCACTGAGATTAAGACTTCATCACAGGCTGGGACCTGTGTCTGCTTCTGTCAAGCAGCTCAGAGCAAGAGAGCAGACCTGGAATCATCTACCCGGTCCACGGTGACCACCTCACCCACACTGAGCTGAAATGTGCAAAACTGATCTCTGATCAGCGCTCTTTACTCTGGGGTGACACTTGACGAAGCAGCAGGCCAGTTATTCTTATTCATCATGGTATACAGAGAAAGAGAGAGTTAATATCATCTGTGTGATGAGACCCAACACAGAAAATCTCCATTTATATACAAGACAGAGCCAAGAGGAAGGTTTCCAGTTAGTCATTACAAGGATCATGAATGACAATACTTTACAAGCAGCACTTCAGGAGGGGGAAAAGCTGTTGTCATTAGCAAGCGGTAAGGCAGGAGAGAGGGACAGAGTACAGCAGAAGATAAGAGGACCTGCATGCTTTCGATCCAGCTATGACAGTTAAAAAGCAGCCAAATATAAAATAATCAACTAATTTACCTTTCAACAATCGGCCAGTGCACTAAAACTGTCTCACAAAGTGTTTTTTTTTTTTTTTTCAAACATGATACCTGTGAACTATTAGGGTTAGAAGCACTGCAAGTCATCTGCCAGTCGGAAACTTAAAATAAAAAAATGCAATTTGGTTCAGTGTTGTTAGTGGTTTGATTGCTGAAGCAAAAATAGCAAAGTTTCAGAATCTAATCTTCTCCTCCCGTCAGGACAGGGCTGTTATATGTTTTAAACACAAACCAAGCTTATCCATACATTCTTAAAACATAATCATACGAAAACATAGTAAATAAAGATGCTTTGTGCATGAGTGCAATATATTTTAAGGACATAATCCATCTTTCAATTTTTATAAATAAAACTTTCCATTCGTCTTCTGTTCCAGCAGACAACATATAGGATATATCTATTAGCATTTTACAAAACAGTTGATTATACCAAGATGACCCAAAAATGACCATAAATAAATAATGTAATGCCATTGATTTATAAAAAAAAAACATAATTTTAAAAATAAAAGAAGGCACAAGTAACAACAGATCTAAATAACCAGCTTTGTGGTAGTCAGATTTTGAACATATTTTTTAAGTATTAGGCTGCATTGCTCAGCAGGTTGGTTGGCCTGTGGCGTGCAGAGTCCTGAATACGTTTACTGATTGTAAGTCAGGTTTGACAAAAAAACTGATTACAACCAGACAAGAAACAAGAGAATAAATCAGGAAAGACAAAATGGTTGGCTGACCACGTCTTTGATAGAGATTTACAAAAGAAGGGGGTATGACAACAGATACAGATAATATGCCTTTAAATGCAAATCATACAGTACAATACAAATTCCAGCCAACATTTGGGGTCATCTTGGTATAGTGCAAAAAAACATATAGCAAGTAAAAGCAACTAGAAACCATCCCATAAAAGTCATAATAACACCAAGCTAATCATACTGTACTGGTTTCTGACACAAGCATCAGGCTGTCAAATATCTAGCAGCTACAGTACAAAAGCTGAGAGGGGGATTGCTTTTAAATGCAACATTTACAGTCAATGATAATGAGATTTACGCCGTACCATACTGTTATAGGTTATACCAACATACTATATAGCATCATTGATAATATTCACTCTCCAAAACATCGACATAGATCATCAATATAAAAAAAGACCCCTAGCATCTACTTTTACTCTACATAAAAGCTAAATCTTGGACACATGTAACTAACTTTTAGTGTTTATGTCAAAGACAGTGATGAAGGAGGGAGAGAAGAAAACGAGGTGAAGAAAGGGAGGCACTATCTGGTGCATGGACAACGCTCTTGCCCACTCAAAGCAACTGCCTTCAACAGATTTCAGGTCCATGGTCAATTACAACTTTCCATTTAGCTACTAGACAATAGTAAACTTATTTTTAACGTAGCAACTCTGCTGGCCCATCACAGACAGAATAAGTGCTTATTTAATTAAAATAAAACTATCCACATACTGTACAGTTGTCCTCTTGGAGTATTCATCATGTAAAACATCTTAGGTCAATTTGGGTATAAATGATTAGTTGTAGTTATTAGAAGATAAAGTTCAACGTTTTGGGAATACGCTTATTCGCTTTCTTGCCAAAAGTTACATGTGGAGGTTATGCATAAAACCAATGTTCCCTGAGGGAGGGAAACTCCCATCAACAACACATCAGTGTGGAGACTGCAACCTTGCAAAGATATAACACACTGGTTTGCACCAAAGTCACGGTTAGCTTAGCATAGCATAAAGACTGGAAAAACCTGGTAAACAGCTAGCCTGGCTCTAATACAATAAATACTCAGCGGTAGAGGTGATGGTAGCTGGATTTTGTTACATTTGGACAGAGCCAAGCTAGCTGTTTACCTGTTTCCAGTATTTATGCTAAGCTAAGCTAACCGGCTGCTTGCTGTAGCTTCATATTCACCATAGAGACCGTTGACAATAGTCTCATCTAACTCTTGGCAAGAAAGTGAATACGTGTATTTGCCAAAATGATTAAAAACAGTTTCTTTAATATCGTAAATGTCTGCTAACACAACTGCACAGTGGACCATGGTTTGAAACAATTAAAGCAAGGAATTAATGCTTTGGTTAAAACAAACTGAGTAAATGATGCAATACATTAACTCAATAAAGACAATAAAGTGCCATGCAACAAAACTGGTCAGTGGTCCTGTCACAGATAAATATCAGTGCAGAGAACCTACAATAGCAACAATAAATAACATTATTCTTTATGTTTATACGTACAAGGTTATTGTAAAAAATAAAATAAAAGAAGCACATACTGAAAACAAGGCAAGGACATAAGTCTCCTGATAAAAGGAGTATTTTGTCTAATCAACAAACTCAGTTTTCATGGACCCAGTTAAAAAAAGCGACACAGGAACAACAACATACCCTTTTGTCCTAACAAATCCCTCATGCTACTTCAATGTTAAAACGACAGTTTGCTTTCTGAAACCTCTGCAGTAAAACAAATACTCTATGCTGTAGAGCACCAAGCCTATCCAAACTGAGGTAATGTACAGTATATGATGGGTGCTTGTGGAGCTATCATCCCTGCACTTACACAGAGAAACATCTAGTTTGATGTTTTCTTTTTTTCCCCTCACCTGATGGCGTTATTTTGAAATACATGAATGGCTGATTTAAAACTGGGGACTTATTTTCAGTTATTATGAATGAAGGAGGGACTGACCACGTACTAACTTTCTACAGGAAACTGGTAGCCTTACAGATGACAGAGTTCTACATGAAAACTAATCAGAACTAGTCCCAATGCCCAGCAGAGGTAAGTTAATTAACAGGTTTGGGTGGTTAGTTTGCCTTATGTTTCTTCTAAAGGGAGCACACCATGCAGGGTTTTGAGGTGGCGACTGCAGAAAACAGAGAAAGGACAGGTTTTCTTGGGATGAGCGATCGAGTGATGTTTGGGACTGGGACGGTCGTCATATACAAGGTTATTTAAATGGTTGTATGTGTTTGTTCATATGGTCTATGTTCATTAGAGGAAGATGACGAGTGGAGCTTTTAGATTGTATTGTTTTGTTTGTTTGTTTGTTGTTTTCCACCAGGCCGGTTCACCTCTCACATCCTCTGAGCAGGCGGGGCCGACTGGATCGACTTTCTCCGGGAGAGCTTTGACCTGAAGAGAGGAGATCAAAGAAACGGGGAGTTAGAGGAAGAAATAGGAACTATTTGAAGAGCAGTTGTGGTTGTGCTTTATTGTGTGAGTCCTGAAATGTCTTAATAATTTCCCAGAAAGTTTCTAGAAAAAAACTAAATAATTTGGCAATAATTATAGTAAATTACAAAATGTTCTGAGACAGTTATTTTAGTTTATTTCATAGTGTTGAGTTAATAAGAAGTTGTTAACTTTCCTTAAAATAATCTTAATGAGGAAGATAACTGAGATTCATTAAAGATATATTAATATTCTACATATTTACTACATATATTTTACTCTGAGGGATAACCACTTCCTTTTTGACCTGTTTATCTCCATTTTCCCAGTAGTAAGTACCAAATTACATATTCCTGTCCAGGAACCTTTCTAATTATTCTGTTATTTTCTCTGTTTCTATCTAGTTATATTGTGAAATAGTTAGTTAGATAAATGGGTTAATCTGTGCTGCTAATAGCTGTTTTTAACAGTTGTCTGTGTTCTGATTTTCCCTCTACAGTTTCTCCATCACTCACCTGATGGTGCCGGCTAACAGAGGGTTAAAAGCGTACAGCCAGTCGTGCATCTCTTTGTCATTGGTGGCCTGCAGCAGTATCCCACGATGCTCAGTGCACACAGCAAACGTGTTGGGAGTCTGGAGACATGAAATAAAGAAATAAGTTCATTCAGGTTCAGTGGGTTACTATTTATTTATCGGTTTTACTATTGAAGTGAAGCTTGGTCGTACCCGCAGTAAGGTCTGTTTGTCTTCGCTGTATTCCACCTTTGCTGACGACAGATTGATGACAGCTCTCTCCACGCTGTCCCTCTCGCTGCGGTACAGGTAGACGTAGGGCCGACGCACCACCACGTAACGCTTCACCCAGCCGCTGGTGTGGGGCTCCAGGAAGTGCAGGTAGCCTTTCTTTGACACAATGGGGCTGCATACAAAGAAAGAAATACTAATGTTAAGTGATAAAACTTGACCACAACCTTTGGTAAATGACGCTTGTTCCCCAAATGAGAACAGATGAATTTGCAGTTTACAAATATAATGTTGATTTTATCCACAGTGACTCAGGATCAAGTGTGTGTGTGTGTATGCGTGTGTGTGTGTGTGTCTGTGGTCTGACCTGACTCGAATCTCCTGTATGTCAGGAACAAAGGTGCATCCTCTGAGAGCTTTCTTTCTGTCGACTGGGCTGTACGGGTCCAGATCCGGTGTGGAAGCTCCTGAACTGGGTTCAGTGTGTCTACACAACATAAACAACGTGTTCATAATGTGACAAAAAGGCACCGTGTCTTGGCCTGTTCATCTGACTAACTCTTTTTTTTTAATTCATCACAAAAAACAAATGTTAAATTCTCATTTTCATTGTCTTTAATCAAGTATTTTTATTTTATGCTACTACTTCTACTACATTCATTTGAATCCTGTAGTTTCTACTTACTTTGCAGATTTACCATACAAAACATAACTAACCTTTAAAATATGATATTAAAATTCAGCAATAATAATCTAATAGTATGTTATACACAATAAAAAAACTCTCTCAAAGGAGCTATTCTGCACAATAAGTACTTCAAGTACATTTTGCTGATCATACTTCTATAGTTTTTCTTAAAGCAGCAACAAGGAACT